GATTAATAGTATGATAATGGAAGGTACTTAAAAAAATGTTTATACTTATATGGAAGTAACTGTTTTGGAGAAACGGAACAGAATAACACAAAATATGATAGTAACAAATGTATTTTTAAAGACTTCTACTTGTTCATCGTTGTCAACATATTTTTGGAATCTTCTCCAGGTGGTCTTTAGAGCCTTGAAGCACTTCCCCATATAGCCCCACGTTACTTTCATATAAGTGTTAACATTTTTTTTAAGCACTCTGTATAATTGAGTTTGATAAAGATAATTTCTTTGATAAACATTTCTATAATTAAGACAAATAGAAGAAACTGTAGGAACTATATTTTTCTTATAAAGGGAAGGAAACTTTGCTAGACGGATGTAATTAAGTCATAAAAGTTATTGGTAGGTACTTGAAACTTTTCATAATCTTGGAAATTAAAGGTTATACAACCTTCGAAATTACATCAAAACCAGCAAGGATATCTTTTCAAGAAATATTTAACCAAGAACTATTGATTTTTGCTTTTGTAATAAATTTGTGCAATATTTTATTTATGATATACATATGTCACATATAAGTCACTAACTCCTTTACAGCGAATGCATCTGTTAAATTTTACAAAGTCGATTTTCTTCTAATATCCATTCCGAGTGTTCCAGTTCGATATAATTATAATTTAATTAGCTGTGTTTTATTCCATTCATATAAAATCTCGTGCGATAAAAATTTATCTAATGTTATTTTTCGAAATTGATTTAGTATATATTATTGTATAAAAATATGTCATCGCAATTGCTTGTACGAAATCTGAGTTTGGTAATCGAGAGAACAATTATAAAACCTTGAAGAACGAACAATTTCCGGATATTTATGAATTATATACCAATGTAGGCATTGTCTAGTCTCTATGCAATAATTTATCCACGCTGTACGAAATTTGTTTAATAATTAGTCTAAAATTAATGAAAATTGAATAAACATTCATTATGTTTGTAATTTTAAGAAAGAAGTTACATTAACCTATACTATATTGCTTGTCTTTTACATATCAAAATGCATAATGGAAAATACAATTGGTTTTTGTATAGCGTGGATCAAATTTATGTCGAATATAACTCAACCTTACAATTAGTCGCACGTAGGAAAGGCATTTATTTATTCATGCTGTATTAATATATTTTGCAAACAAGTCTTTAAAACAAATAATTAAAAAATCATCTTAAGTATCAAACATTGATGCACATTGTGTGCATAGCAATAGCTATATTATAGTCGTCTGGGCATCGAGGCGGCAGTGTGGTCTAGTGGTAGAGCGCCAGACTCGTAATCTGAGGAACCAGGTTCGAGTCTATTAGAGCCATGGAAAGTTTTTTTCCAAAAGCTGCGCTTTCCGTGCAAGATTGGGGCCCTTATGCGGAGCAAACTGGGCTCCGTCTTTCGGGAAGAGTCGTTAAGCCGTTGGTCCAATGGGTTAAGTGAGAGGAGAAGGGTAGTAGTGGTAGTAACTGTTCGCCTATTGTTACGTCATTATTTCCCGGCAAATAATATTTTTTACAATTCAATAGAAATGAATCCCAAAGGTCACGAATTGGTGTTAAATTATCACGTTGGCGACGTTCTTCATGGTGTACTTTCGTCATCGAACTGTAAATGTAATAATAAAGATTCAAAACGGAGTATACTAACATGGTTGAGCGATAGATAGGTGTTTCATGATCTGGTTTCCATAATTTCCTAACAGTAATATAATTTTTTCTTTCGATTTTGTTAAAATATAAAATTCCTATAAGGGACTACTTTTAATTCCTCGAAATTAATATATCTTAAAGAACTATGTAATTCTTTATAATTTTTTCGTTTTTGTGCAATCTCAGTGTTAGTATATTCGACAATTTTACTTAGCAGTAAAAAAGTCGTCAGTAAAAAGGAGAGACCATACGTCCATTGGAGTATCCTTATCCTTCGCATCGCCCAACACTTCAGGTTCATAATTCGGTACATTATCTGCTTCTGTTTCTTCTTCTTCCGTCGGCGGTGTAACGGACCATTCAAAGCGGTAGGCGTCACGGCTCTCCAAGGATCCAGTTCCTTGCGTCGATGCCATACGCTGCCTCTTCGTCTTCACTTTCAGCGGGTCGCTTTATGCGGGGCGTTTCCATTGTCGACTAAAAATGATTGAAGATACTAGTTTATATTATAAATACAGAATATTATTGAAAAGTAGAAACATGCATAATATAACAAAGATATAAAGTTACGTTGATAAGAAATATTGTACTTTTAAAATACACTTACTCGACAAAAATGTGACGCGGTTACTGTGATCACGTTTGTGAGACCTATAAACACTTTCGCGACGTTTTCGTCTTCGCTACTAAGGTCGATTTGGCATTATCGTTATAGCTGCCACTTCGGGAGATTCAAAACTATGTTTCCTCCCCACCACAAGTCAAAGAAATCATTATTATTACCTGAGTACAAATACTATCAACCGATGAAAGTTTCTGCTCGAGTTTTCCAGATCCAAGAATATATTAACCTATAGGGTTAATTCTATATTTTTTTAATAACTTTCTTTTAATTATTACGTTCTCGTGTTTAGTATTTTCTGCAATATTTAATGAAATGAGATCTTTTAACGAGTTCCAGTTGCACTGAATGCAGCATCTCGCTGAATTTTGTGGGGACTTCCATTTTTGTTTTTAAACCCTTCGTAGGTTGAGGCACATTAAGCGGTGAGAGCTTAAGCTGCTTCGACGGTGCTCGTAGATGAAGCTCGCTGAGGTTCGCCAAAAGTGTATCTTGCATTTTCGGCGCGAGAGTTCACAATGTGTAACAACTCGCCTGCGGCGATCTGCGCACTGAAAATGCTTCCCAAGCCGCGCTGCTTCGTCCCGGTTTCCCTGATCGTAACTAGTTTCAACGAGATTTCCAACAAATTCGATGAAAAGTCTCTCCGACGAAAATACGAGTAAGCAAGATATTGAGCTGGCTAGATAATGGCAAAAAGCATAAAGCATATCGGCGTAATTACGGTTTTCCCGACGCACTGACGGAACGGTACCCGCGCGCGCAAGAGTTGCGAAGTTTCGTAAGAGTGCAGGGAAAATTGTTCACGCCCAAGATGGGAATTGAGATATCTTCGTTCGAAATTCTCCAACTTTTCAAGATGAATTCAATTATTCGTTCTCCCAATTATTTTCTTCCAGTAGAACGATCCGGGGATCCTACGATGTAGAAGCACATTCACTTCGTGGCGCTCATTTTAGCGAGCAATTTTTAACGATCCCCTTGTAATTAAGCAAATCGCTCTCTAAATGTCACCGTCATCCGAGTTTGCGTTTGAGCTCCCGGTATATATATATCCCTTTATTTTACGCACGAGAGGTTTTCCCTTGTAGAAGGTGGTAAAAGACCGCACCTAATCCTGTATTAATGATCTGTCTGCAATTTATTTCTGACTATAAGAAACGAGGACAAGTTGCGCGAAAATCTTTTTTCAGATATAAAAGTTTGAGAGGAGTCATTATGAGGAGAGTTCGAAATAAAATACGCGAACGAATATCCGGCGCACAATCCTGCAATTTTAATAACATGTTTATATTAAAAGTTTTAAAGTATATATATATATATATATATATATATATATATATTTTTTTTTTTTTTTAAACTTTGAAAGAACGAAAAATGTGGTGAAGAACTGCCGCGAAATATCTGTGAAAAGGCATATATCCTTCAAGAGAAGAATACTAAAATATAAAATTAAAAAGGACACTTGTACAGCCTCGCAATTTTAATAACGTATTTTTAATAACTATTGCTTCCAAAAATAAAAACCACGGGAAGATAGCTGTTAAGGATTGAACATATTCTCTATGTAATCGAGCCGCGAGGCAAGTTCTTTCGGCTTAATGCAAACATTCTCAACCGATTCTCAATCATCCAAGTGCGTGAGTGTCCAGAGAGACTGTATTCTCTGCGAGTAATTATCGAGTTCATCAAAGGAGTTCGCCCCGAACCTCTGTGGTCGTGTCGCGTTCGCGCTCGATCGGAGTCTGCCTCGCGAACATAATTCTCCGTACGACCGCAAGATTTCCGTCGTAAGGGCATCAAGTCGATGCTCGGCAAGATCTCCGTCTCGCGTTTGCGGCAGACTACCGACGCCTCAAGATTTCCGAGCGATTCGAACCACGACAGTGTCCGTGAAATTTACCAAGAGTTTTCGGTGCAAATTAATCGCGGTAGCGAAAGTCGTTCTCTTATCCGCAGCCCTCCCCTTGTTTCGCACTCTTTCTGAGTGGTGCCGGCATAAATCGCGCTCCTCTGAATCCTGTCGAGCACGAAACAATATCATTACGGGATTTTTGTGTTACGTTTTTATTGTAAGAGATATCCTGGAAAATAATGTTCGCGAACATTGCACTGAACGTTAAACACGTAATAATTTTAATAACACATCTCTTCCGTTTCATATGGCATGTTTTTCATTATCATTAATACTCGCTATTGTTAGAAAAGTCTTTTGCCTGGAGAGTGCACTACGAATGAGATCCTTCGCGATCCAAAACGAATAAGATTTCGGGATACAAGATCCTTGTTGAGAGTGTTGTCTTGTTAGGTGCACAGTACGCTTTGATTCTATAACAAGCATTATTTGTAGTCTCGCTGGACACTATTTGTGTAATTCCAAATTGCGTTATACATATCGTTTACGATGAAATTTAAACGTCGTTTTTTTTAGTTTTTAAAATATGATGACGGAGTTTTTAATTATTATTTACATTGTTAAAAGATAGAGAGAATTAATGAAAAAACCTATTGTATGTTATTATCTCTAACATGCAAAATATCATCTCTATATGAGTGAATTTTTGCAACAAAAAACATGGAATTCTAGTGTATTTTATTAACTGTAATATGTTATAAGATTGACATATTAAACATGTTATGCACGATATCGTGGCGCAAATGTAGCATCTACTAATTAGTAAATGTACGACCGCAGGACATGGATATGCTGCAGCTGTTCGCATCTCCGGCGGGTCGAGCGTTACTCACGAGCGACAATCGGACGAGGGGATCAACGTCGACCTCCTCCTTGTCTCGAGAATCCTCGTCGAGGTTGAAGAGCAGCAGGAGACCATCGGGTACTGGCACAGTCAGCGCACCTACGTCGCCACCAAGACGGCGGAAGTCAAGCGCCGAGCTTTACAAGGAAGCTGTCGAAATTCTCGGCCTCACTTGCTCACTGACCGATAGCTGTCGTTGCATCGATTGCCAGGTAATCATTTATGATTTATGCTCGGCATAACATACATCAGGCCTGCTATAATTTTTTGTGCAGCTTTTATATGATATGACCACATCATGATGTGAGATGCGTCGAACTTGATACATTAAAAACTCAAAAAGTTACTAAAGTTCGAATAAAATTCAAATCGTCGATGAATTTGTAATTTTAACAACTAAAGCTTTCATTTACCTAGAGATTTGATTATTTGAATGAATGAAGATATAAAAATCCATCAATACAATTTTATAACTTTTCACATTTAACAAAATTGCAATGCAAACTGGATGAAATGTATGCTTCAGTAATACAATTTCACTTTTAAAGGATTTTTTTATTATACGATTTGTCGCATTTGCTTGTAAGCACTACAATGCCACCCATATTGTAAATATTAAAAATTTTATTGCAAATATTAATCAAGAAGTATTAGAGACTTAATTAATATTTACGGACCATTCCTTTTTCTTGTGAGCCAATTACATCGCGTATGCAGTTGCTGCAGACAGAAATGACGTCAATAACTGTACTCACGCAAATAAAGTTGATATTGGCTAGTTTGTATACTAATTGGACAATTCTGTTACGGATTACTCGGGGCGGGACGAACTTTTTTTACTGCTCCATTTTGGCTTGCACTTCTAGGTTCGTTAGCTACGGAAAATTCTGATTTGATTCCATCAGGTCGCAAGACCGTTAATATATAAAACTATAAACTTCAGTTGTCGCTTCAAAAATTTTTGTTAACATTACATAAATAAATCTTTGATCTAAAAACTGAGAATTACTAATTAATCTTTCCAAAAGCCCAAAATGTATATTATCATACATATTTTTATACGATGCTTTTTTATTTTATTTTTTAGAAATGAATAAACAGTAAAAGAAAGTAATAAAAGAATTTTTGTGTAACGTTTATTAGATATACACCCGCCCTATATATATACATAGAGCGGGTGTATACCTATAAGTATAAACGTTGCACAAAAATTCTTTTATTACTTTCTTTTATTATATATTAATATATATATTAATATATAAATTCTGATAATGACATATTCATTATCAGAAACCATTTCTGGCAAGAACGTACCTAAAAATAAGTATGAATATTACATATAAAAAATTTTCTACACGGAGAGAATTTTTTGTTATATTTTACCCTTAAATTCACTTCAAACTTGGGACAATTTGGCAACCAAGGAATTTTTAAAATATACAAAAGACATTTTACAAACAACGTGATGAAAATTACCAAGCAGATTGGTAAATTTTGAAAAATTATTGAAATTTCCTAGATATATTTTAGTAAAATTAATCAAACATATTTTATATTTTAATGTAATAGATATCACGGTGCGTCTCGCTCCGCACGTACTTTCATACTCTGAAATTCAACGTTTATATGCCTACTGTCGAATCTTTCTAGTCTCTGGCCGCAGGGGGAAGTGATCCGCGCAGTTCCTTGGGCCTAACGCACCTACGGCATTACCGAGTTCCCGACACCGCGGACAAACACGAACAATTATACATACATTCATATACACTTACACAGTTTCGAGTTCAAAGTTCTACGAGTTTACGAGTTTATATTACGCAGTTTAACTTCTGTTTGGGACGCTTTTATTGAGGCGTTCATGTTAATCTAGTCGAAGTCTCTTTTGTTTTGATGTGATACAACTAGTTTCGGTTTCGCTATTATGACCACATGGGCTACCCCCACGGTCTTTCCTTTATTTAAATAAAAAAAAAAAAAAAAAAGAATCTTTCTAGCTACTGAGAATTCGTCTGTCGAACGGCAAATATAAAGGACTCGTGTGGCAAGATACTTTCAGTGGGTACCTTTCCGAGAAGTAGCGATCGAATAAAAACCGACGATATTATTAGTCGGATTTGAACTCGGATCTTTAGAGCAGCGCACATCTCTCTGCGCCACGATTGCCACGGATACAAAGAAATAAATTATTTTATGATAAAAGAAATTAAACACACATACTCTAATAATGTTCTTTTAGCATGTCCTCTTTATAGGCTTCATTGACATAAATTCAAGTACTTTTCTGCACTGTTGCAATTTACTAACATTCGTTATTTTTTTTGCAGAGCAATTACTTCGACTGTGATGACGATTGCGCCGATGCTGGTACAGAATTAGCTGCAGGCACTCCTATTCTATTGGACCACGCTCTGCATCATCTGACTGTGTGTTCCATACAGTAGCAAACGACCGGTAGACGAAAATTTCGGTCCCCTTTTTAGCTCGCTCTGCCATACGTTCCAAAAGAGGATGACGACATCGTCAGCATGTCAAAATCTTCCAACAATTGCACAACAATTCGCGTTAAATACAGGAATTAGCGAGACTGAAAAACAGCTAACGCGGCAACGATATTACGTAGATATCGAATACCGGGTAGCACGAAAATTGAATCGTTCGTTTTGCATTCCGTGAGTCTCCATAGAGTTTAAATATACATTTTCCTTGCCAAGTAAAATTTATCTGACACCTTGTACGATTTAGTAATTATTTGCTCAACCATCGGATAAACGACAGCGTTAGGCGTTACACGCGATACGTGAATTATTATTCAGATACATCCAAACATGTTCATTTCATGATAATATAGTAGAATATTGATGAACTTTTACGATAATGATGTAAAGCAAAGTAAGTTCTTGCACATTATTATTTGTTTCGTATTATTGTAGCGGCGTAACGACTCGTACGTTTGTATTGTATTCGAAAATTCAAAAATTACGTTCAGAAACGATGATAAAGCACGGCTCAAAAATCGCTCGAATTTAAATTATGCCAAAACAGCGCCAAAAATTTTACGATAGGATTTCCTAATTAATAATTAGCCCATGCACTGCGTTCGTACCCCGTTCGGTCATCCATCGGATAAATGTACCGGTATATATTATCTAATCGGATCGCCGATATGCGCGGTGTATATGAAGTCTGTATACATACATGTACGTGCATGTATGTATACAAACATATATATTATATTTACTACATGTTTTATTATTAATACCTATTTAAGTCTAGCGAAATGCAATTGTTGAATAGTAAGTGCGCGAAGCTAAATGATAAGACACTCCAGACGGTGGAAATAATTTCGCACGACGTAATGTATAGACTTTATACGTACAATATGTTACGCAGTTGAATATGTGTTCGATTAATTTTTCTAACGTAAACCCCCTTCTACTGAGAACTCTACGTTGAGTTAATTAAGGAGACGCGAATAATAAAACGGAGTTGGTTTTCTCAACTTGTGTATGGGGCAAGTACACAGTGCCCATTGTAAAACAATGTCTCGGCGAATTTTTTATTTTCTATATAAATGAGATTTTTGTGAGATATAATTAACAACCAGAAGGTTAAGAAGATTTCTCGCAACATGTAATTGTAAGCGACGTAACGATAAACAAAGTTAGGCCTGAATTACGTTGCGCACTTCGAAGAAGGTGACATAAATTAAAAAGGTGCGAACGGGAGAAAGCATCGTACTGTGAAAGATTAAAAAAAAAGCTTAGCGATATATCTAACCGGGATTTCAAAGAGGGTCAAGTGCCAAATAATTTATTGCTAAGCTTTGCCAGATAAATAATCGAATTGTTAAGGAAACTGTCGCGTGTATGTTAATTAAAACGTTGCGTTATATATTCGGACGCTCCGATAAAATTTTATACCGAGCTGGAACAAAATATTAACTTTTAGATTTAATCTATAGGAATCTGGTATAATCTCTGCTCGCGAAACTTTTTCTCTTGTGTATTAAATTTTCATCGCCTTGTGTTAGTTGAACATCTTGTAGTGTTCTTTTAAATCATTCCGTATAATAATTTAAATTATGCAACTTTATAATGCCATATATAAGCACTCCATAATTTTCAGTTTTCAGAAAGTAAGTGTATAAAATTTAAGATGTCCATAAATAAAAGGGATATCTATAGAACTTTATTCAGGATACGTTTAGTAATTAACGAAGAAGTAAATCGAAATTTTCATGCACTTCCATCAAACTTCTATCGTGATTAACTTAAAAATGATAATTTCAATGATTCGTGATTTTAACATTTCAAATTCAATTAACATTCGAATGTTTCATTATTAAAGCTATAATTAAAGCTTTACTTCCTTACGTAACTTCGCTTTTAATTCAATTCAGTGTTCATCTTTTAGTTCAATTAAATGTTCATCTTCATTATTGAAACTTGAAAGTGTACTTTCAGAGAGACTGGTATTATATAAAAATCCTGGGCGAGATAAATCCAGCCTTTTCTTGTCCAGAATTATGAGCATCGACGAATTCTCGTGTTTTTCACGTAAAAGCACACAAATATAGAAAATTTATTGTCGGACGAAATTAGAGCGCGACATCATCGTTTCTTGTACAATTTCATAATTTTGTAATTTTTAATTTGTTTTTAACTTTTTAATTCTTATTACAATACTTTCCAACGTTACTTTTTACAATGAGACATTTTGTCGATATTAGAAATAATGGACAATTATAATCTAGTCAGTCAGACTCGACATCAAGTTTCTTCTAACTTGTTGAATGAGTAGATTTGCGTCTTTTTTTATCTGAATAGTTGTCGCAATTTATTGTGAAATTGTGCAAATATAATCTTTATGAAAACGATAAAAATTTTTCTTTACATGCGGAAAATGTTACACCTGCGAAATTGTTATAAAAAAATAAGTGTCTTTGATGATCGATCTCTTCACTGGAAAAATGCTCTAACGATCTAAAGACAAGTGGCAGATTTTTAAATATCGTATAAATAATTTTTAAGCTATTATACGTCAAATAACTTCACAAAACAAAATTTATAAAACATTACGATTGTTATTAGCTATCAGAGAGTAATCAGAAATATTGCATTCCACTTTAATGACGCAATGAGAATAATTTCCAGGGCCGGTTCTGACGAGTGTGCAATGTGTGCTTACACGTAAAATTTTAAGGACGTAAAAATATTCATAAGAAATACAAAAATAAAAATGTTTGATATATATATTATGTTGTCATTAAACCAACCGCAGTTTCACTGTAAGAATCCGAATGTTATCGCCAATGCTTGAACTCGAATTAATTCGATTGCCTTTAATCCAAATTCACTAAATTTAGTAGTCAATGATGCTGCTAAGTAACTTTTAAAACCGTCATTTTTTTAGCTTTTATTCGAAAATTGTATTGTTTTTCTGCATCACATTTTTTCTGTATTATCCTATAGATGAGATGTATTAAAAAATAAAATACGAAAAAAGCTTATCGAATCATTACAAAATTTAGGTTATATTGTTAAAAATAACTTACACTTGTCATTTCTAAATTTGTTATTTTTTTAGAAATGTTTTCAATGTTACCGACATAACTGTTGCATTTAGTGAAATAAGTTCTGTGAAATTAAAATTAATAAAGAATTATCTGCAATCCTTTATGACTCAAGACCGATTAACCAAATTAGGATATTTAACTATAGAACATAAACTTTGAAAGTTTAGATTTATTTGATATTGTAACCGTTATAGATAGTAAAAGGTCTAGAATAGTTTAATGGTAATAAAAAAATTCTTTTGTTTCTTCGTGGTTTTTTAAATACAATGTATGTTTACGAAATACTTTATACGTATAAATGTATATCTTTTTGTTGTCTCGTTTTTCTACACATCTATATAAAGGCGTAAAAATTGTTCTCGCACGCAGACTAGTAAGAAGCCAGAACCGACCCTGATGATTTCTACCACGCTGGGAAAAGTCTAATTGTAAATTGAATGATTGATTATACCTGATAAGTGATGTATGCTCTTCTCCATGAGCATACGTTTATAAATTAGTAATTGGTTGATCAATGATGATGAATATCAAATGACACTTATTGATGTATCTTTTTTTACTAAGATAGCGGTTATTTATCTTTGTTAAGAAGACGCGCTATAGCAGAGTGTTGGTATGATTGAAATATTATCGACTAACGTTATTAAGTATAGATAGAAATAAAAGAAGCGATCTTTAATTAAGTAGAAGCGAAGTGGGAGAGAGCCGCGAAATTAAAGTTTAATGTTTGCGATTAATATATCGATTGAGGCATTCTAAGAATTCTGAATATTTCCTTCTAATTTTGCAAGCATGCAAGTGTCGCCGTGAATGAAAATTTCATTACGTTTGCGTCCGTTTAGTAATGTCGTGTTAAATATATTTAGTTTAGTACAATTATATTTATTACAATTAAATATTAGTATTATAGCATAGTATTATTACTATATGATTAAAACCGTATGATTATTAATATTTTGTATTTCGGGCTCTTTTCTGCATACATTCGTAGCCAATCCAATTTTAGAATGCACGTTCGTTGCGTCGGATTGGCTTCTTCTCATCGACGAAAGTAACAGCGCAATTACTAATATCGTTCCAGATATATTCGAGAGCCGCGAGAAATCTCGCGAGGGTAATGTAATGCGAAATCTCTGGCTTTTAACCATTTTATAGTATAACATAAAGTGCGAGGGAGATTCCGAGCAAAAGATCCTCGTGAGCCGTTCCGGCGTACTCTTGAGTAAGAGACTACCATTAAAGTACGATACAATATACTCGACTCTCGTTTCAACCGTATTCATTTTTAATGGCCCTTTTCCTTTCCCACATGCAATAAAAATAGGATTTATGGATCGACAAGAAAACCATTAAATTATTAGATCAAATATATCGTCACAATGTGCGTAGAGATATACCATATTTAAGCTATTCATAGACAGATCTTATATATAAGATCGTTTTAAGTTCATCTTTAGATTACTTTCATCCCTATTCCGTACTAGAACGTTAGAGATAGGAATTTTAATCGTTCGTGAAGAATGATTGTTAATCTTGTAGCTTTAAATCTGAACGCAAGTTTGCAACAACATTTTGTCCCATATTTTTTCAATAGGAAAATTTTCGCAAATACGTTAAATATTATCGTGTAAATTAATGGTATTTTTATAAAAACTTTGATTATAAATTTATAATAAACAAATGGATAATAATATTTTGCATATATACGTTATATTCTTATTATTATAAAAATTATTCTATATTATTGCACAATTAATAAAATATGCATGCTTGTCAAATAAATGATGTGTCTCTTTACTTTATTGTATCGCGGTATTAACATTCCAAACAAATACTTTAAATTAAATTATGATCTCTTCCGGACGCGGTAAATAATGCTAAAAGATAACTGCACACCTCTATTGAAGTCCCTCGTGACAGTAATGTATCGACGATCTAGTTAAAGTTGCTAACACCATGTCTCTGAGACTACAAAACAAGAAGACAAAGATACATTTCCTATACTGACAAAGAAGTGACTCTCTCGATTGACATAGGCTTCCCAGTATATTCGATCTGTATTATTATAATATTATAAGTCAAAGTAGTAATAAATTACAATTTTGTCCAAGAATGGGTATATTTATTGTTGCGGGGTGTAACGTAAATCGTCATTTGAATTCTGTGAGGACCCTATGGGCCATTTTTTTGCTTATACAGAGCATCCCCTGAGACGGATGTTTATGTCTCATGGGAATCTCAAGAGTTCAAGAACACGATGGTACGATTTTGCGTCAGGAAAACGCGACCCGGCAGGCAATGCCAGCAGACATTTCCATTACAAAAACGGCTGGTTTTGGATGGATCAAGCCGCGAGAATGCTACTCGAATATGTATGTAAGACACTCGTGAAAGGGGCTGCCTGACCTCGAACTCGAAATATAATCATCAAGTTGCCTATTTCAATAATTCCTGACAGTTCCGGAAGCTCTTTCCGTCCATCTTTCCCCGAATTCGAAAGATTGCAAACATTGAAATGTCGCAGTAATTTTCAATGTTACAGTATTCAAAACGCGCACTATATGAAGTATGATCCCCAGACAATATTAACCATTTATGCTCTGGAGATTTACTCGACAAGCGTCTTATCGTTGATTTAAGAGTACAATTATAACATTCATTTCTGTATATAACAGATCGCAAAATTAATTTCAGCAACGCTTCTTTATTTTATATTATATTTTATAAATTTCGTACACTTTTGTCAAATTTGTTATGTAAAATTAATGGCTTTATCCATTGACCGCGCGTTTGTAAAAAAGCTCTCAACGCATATGAGAGCAGATATGAATAACTGAATCTAAGCCTTAAGGCATGCACAACTCATGGTCGCATAATATTGGCATTGAAGGGACATTGCGGGGATTACATTTCTTTATTTTGTTATTAAAATAAAATTTCTGTGTCCGTTGGTCAAAAAAATTCCATTTTATCTAATGATCATTGTTGTTGATATTTTAATAATCTTATAATGTCACACGTGCGTGGAAAGTGGTCCATTCCGCGCGCGACGCGCGAGTGATAGATCACTTTCCACGCACTTGTAATATAAAATAGGGTGTGTAACACGTGCGTGAATTTTCATCTTCCCGCACTTGTTACACAAATAACTATTTCTTATTTATTCTTTGCTATACCTTCTGGTGTAGCAAGGGTGTGATTGTTAACTCATTCAACGCTCTTTTTTTAATGCGTTTTAGTTTTCTCTGTTTCAAATTTAAATGCAATCTCCTATTTTTAAATTTTTTTCTTTTTTTTATTTGTCTTCGTGCATAACAGCGTTCCAGACTTGTACTGGCCATCGATTTATAACTAAAGAGAAAATAGTTCAGAGAAAGATATAACAAAAGACTGAAAAAATAAAAGGCAAAATATAGAATGCTGAAAGAAAAAAATTGAAACAAAAGAAAGAAATATAGATAGAAAATAAAGGACCCCCTACCAACCATATGGATTTTGGTTCCCGGCCAAATTGTCTGAAATTTTAGTACCTTACGTAGAGCAGCGATGGCTATTGTTTTTGCTTCTTTATGTTTATTTTTTGTCATATTTTTAATTTCTGCTTGCAACTATGCAACTTGTGTACTTAAATCTCGAATCCTTTCTTTAAGATTTTTATTTTCGTCTACAAGTTCTCGGTTCAGTTTCTCTGTCTTTCTTAATTGCATTAATGTTTCGACATAAACATAATTTGTATTATCGTTAATCCCTTGCTTTCTGTAAAATATTTTTTATAACAATATATATACTAACAACTTAAATATGATTGTGATTGGAATCTATTAAATAATAATTTTAAAGAAACATTTAGCTACATACACCTGTTGTTTTATCGCTTTACTTTGCTCTTCCATATTTTGTGTAGCTACTTTATCTATTTTTTTGTAACTTTCTCTTTCGTATCTTGTAAAGTATCTCTTTCCATATTCTTTACAGCTTCTTCTATATTTTGTGCAACATCTGTTTCCATTTTTGTTACAGTTTCTTCTGGCGATAAACGCTGCTTTTGTTGTGCATATTGTACAAATTCTCTAGATACAAATAACTTTCCTCTGAAAGAATATTGTAAACTATTAGTTGTATTTGTACATTTGTATGTATGTATATTTTACATGGTTCTTATTTGCAAAATAATAGAGAACTTTTGTTCAATTTGACCTAATTTACATATGTACACGAGTGACCTGACACTTAAATTCAGACACAGTATAATATATACAGCTATATACATAACAATCTAGAAAATACTTACGGTACTTTAATTTTTTTGTTATTTTTCTTGCTCTGCGACATTCGGAGTCTGCGTTTCTTTTCTAGATTTAACAATTTTGTTGGAATAAATTCCTCTTTTAATCTTAAAATTTCTTTGACTGATGGTTGATTTTTTAATCGTGGTTTTGTCTTCACAAGCTCAAAACAATTTTCCTCAAAATGGATACTGCATATATTCTTGCTGTAAATATGTTAAATCATGATTGTGATGTATGTAAACACATGTAAGTAACAATGACATTGGGTTGAGTTGGAAGTTAAAACACTAACTTACCATAATTTTCTTAATGTTAACTTACTCGAATCTGTTATATCACTTTCTTTCCTTTGGCAGGCATTAAGCCATCGCTGACGAACAGTTATTTCTTTTAGAAATGTATAATATTTAATGGGAGCTTTCCAGCAACCGACACAAGTCGACACAAGTGTCATTTTGTCTCTATTAATCATTTCCAAAAAAGAAAGATAGAACGACGTTTGTGTCGACTTGTGTCGCTTACTGGAAAGCTCCCAATGTCTTCCGCACTATAAGGCGTAAAATTCTTGCAATTTTTAATATAGCACGTTGGCATGGCTTTTCTTCGCGAACAAAATCCAATATGTAATATCTAATAAAAATCTAATAAATTTGATATATTTGGCATAAAAGTATTTGTTTTATAATGTTTTACGATCGCGAGAGATATTCTTTTGAACTTGTTACGACCAGCTAAGAAACGCGTGCAACGGCTAACACAAACTGACACAAACTGTCCTGTCACATTATGCGAGGAGCCGCACATGTTGCTTCTTGTATCTTGGACAAATTTCTGATTAGTCAAAGAAAAAGACGACTGCATATTTTTGAAAATGCTACACCAGTTTTTCTTTCTAACGTGAAAAAAAAAGAGAAAAGGTGAACCGTGCAAGAAATTCAGCTGAAAAAGCCTCGAAAAAAAGTACGGTCTTGTAAAAAAGACTTTCAAATGCCTATAACTCATAAACTAATCTGACTAATCATAAAAAGTTAACAAAATTTGAGACTTATTTTATCAGAGATACAAGAACTACGACCATGTCGCAAATTAAAATTAAATCTCGCGTGTTTCTTTATCGCACAGCGCATTCCTACTCCGCTTTCTCCGCCTCCGCCACCGCCGCCGTCGCCGACGACTTTGTGGCGAGCGGACGATTCGCTTTCGTATTTTATTTCAGATTTGTGTCAATTTCAAGATAGGCAATGTAATCAATGTAAATTATTATAAATTGAATGATATTGATTGATCATTTTGAACTGTATTTTTGCATTCCCACAAAAATAAAAAGTAGTTTTAAACTAAATTTAGATTAATTGCATTTTTATTTTGATATGTTTATTAACTGTACATAATAACATTAGTGACACATAAAAAATGCATGTTATTAATATAGAAATTGTTATTTATGCTGATCTCTATACGAGTAGTATATTGTCTAGCTCACAGTTGCAATGCACAATATGCATATTGTTTATTTTCTTTGGCGGCCGACTAAAACAGCTAATCAAATTTTTGTCTAGAATGTAGCGCCATGACCTTAAGTGCAGCATTAGTTCCGTCATATTTAAAATTGTCTTTAAGTTACAAGAATGTTATAATGAATCAGCCCTTGCAATGTCTTCAGATGAGAGCCTTTCTATAATCTGAAATATAAGATTGGACTATGAATACTGTTCTAAGTTGTAGAAACGTGTAATTTATAATACAAAAGAAAGTATATAGGAGTGATATTAAGTTAAAACAATTTTAAATAAAGGAACATGTTCTTCCAGAACATGACTATTTTATTTTACACACAATTTTTTTATTGCTTAACTTATAAATAGTTTTTCCTTTTTAACACAGTTTTGCAGTGTTGTTGCACGATCTTTTTTTTACATAGCTATATGCTTCTAAACTTAATCATCGTAACGAAATTACATAATATCTTCAAATGACTATTTTATACGATTCTTTGTCGGCGACATTAACATTGTAATCTGGTTAGGTGTAAATACCTTATGTAGAGCATCGATGACTATTGTTTTCGCTTCTTTGTGTTTATTTCTCGTCATGCTTTTAATTTCTGCTTGCAATAACTGTGCAAATTGTGTACCTAAATCTCGAATTCTTTCTTTAAGATTTTTATTTTCGTCTAAAAGTTCTCGGTTCAGCTGCTCTGTCTTTCTTAATTGCATTAACGTTTTGACATAAACATAATTTGTATTATCGTTAATTCCTTGCTTTCTGTAAAATATTTTTCATAACAATATATACTAACAACTTAAATATGATTGTGATTGGAATCTATTAAATAATAATTTTAAAGAAACATTTAGCTACATACACCTGTTGTTTTATCGCTTTACTTTGCTCTTCCATATTTTGTGCAAGATCTGTTTCCATTCTTGTTACAGTTTCTTCTTGCGATAAACGCTGTTTTTGTTGTGCATATTGTACAAGACCTGTGCATGTAGGTACAATAAATGACTTTTCTCTAAAAGAATATTGTAAAGTATTAGTTTTAGTTGTACATTTGTATATATATTTTACATATGGTTTTTTTGTAAAATAATAAAGAACTTATTTCGTTCAATTTGACCTAATTTACCTAATTTACACGAGTGACCTGACACTTAAATTCAGACACAGTATAATATATACAGCTATATACATAACAATCTAGAAAATACTTACGGTACTTTAATTTTTTTGTTATTTTCCTTGCTCTGCGACATTCGACGTATTCGTTTCTTTTCTAGATTTAAGAATTTTGTTGGAACAGATCCCTTTTTTAATCTTAAAACTTCTTTGACTGGGTCATTTATTAATCGTGGTGTTGTCTTCACAAGCTCGTAACAGTTTTTCTCAAAATGGATACTGCATATTCTTGCTATAAATATATTAACTCATGATTGTGATGTATGTAATAAACACAATGTAAGTAACATAATGACATTGGGTCGAGTTGGAAGTTAAAACACTAACTTACCATCATTTTCTTAATGTTTACTTACCCGAATCAACTTTCATATCACTTTCTTTCCTTTGGCAGGCATTAAGCCATTGCTGACGAACAGCTATTTCTCTTGGAAACTTATGATATTTAATGTTTTTCGACGCAGTATAATGCGAATTACTCTTGCAATTTTTAAATTTAGTGTTTTTCGACGAAGTAAAATTGCAGTACGTACGATTTCCGCAATTTTTAATACAGCACGTTGGCATGGCTTCTTCACGAACAAAATACAATATGTAATATCCACGGTAATATCTAAAAAAAATCTAATTTTGATATATTTAGCATAAGCTTATTCGTTTTATAATGTTTTACGATCACGAGAGATATTTTTTCCAACCTGTTACGACCAGCTAAGAAACACGTGCAACAGCTAACACAAACTGACATAAACTGCTCTGTCACATTATGCGAGGAGCCACATGTTGCTTCTTGTATCTTGGACAAATTTCTGATTGGTCAAAGGTAAAGACGACTGCGTATTTTTGAAAGTGCTACCAGTTTTTCTCTCCAACGTGAAAAGAAAAAGAGAAAAGGTGAATCGTGCAAGAAATTCAGCTGAAAAGGCTTCGAAAGAAAGTACAAACGGTCTTGTAAAGGAGACTTTTAAATATGCCTAATATTAATTCAGAAACTAATCTGTGCGACCAACTTCACACTCATTCAGAATCGACCACTTTTTCCACTAGTTGTATAATATACTATTTCTTAACAAAATTATGTACGTTATGATGCTACATACGTTCGCCCTTTCTGTTTTAAATATTTTAACTTTGTTTTAAAAGTTTAAATATTTTAATTGCTTTAGAAATATACTATATGTTTATCTATAATAAATGTTTCTGTTTTACAAAAATAAATTATTTTTAAAAATATATATTTTTAAATAGAAAATTTGACTGCTCTGTATTTATTTTAATACGAAACTTCCAAATCAATAAAAAGTCGAAGATATCTAAATTTTGATTTTATTTTTTCTAACATTGACAGATGTTAATGTAAATCTCTTTGTATTACAAATAATTGTGACGCGTGTTTCTATTTTATTATTTGACGATAATTACTACTATTATTTAGTTGGTGATATAGAAATCATAATATCCGTCTGTTATCAATGTAGTTTGCTCCCTTATCGTCTACGATAAGATAGATATTTTCATTATTATAAATTACATTGAATTAGATATGAGACCAAATAAAATAAACAAACAAGTAAATATTTATTTACAATTAATAAAATTTACTAATAAAATTAAAATTTTTTATTTTGCACAACTGAGAAATTATTATCGTCACATTTAAAAAGAAAAAAAAGGGCCAATTACAAATAAATTTTGTTCTAAAATAGGAATTAATATTAATATTATTATAAATAATATTATTAATAGATACTAATAATGTTAATATTATTACATATCTAAAAATGTAATAATTGGTACTGGTATTTAAATTATATTTAATAAACAGTTTAATATTTAACAAGATTTAATAATCCAATAACTCAAGGATCAATCATTAATTTCTTAATTTATCTATTTATTGCAACAGTTATAAAGTAAAACTTTAACAGTTAAAATGTTCAAAACTAACTTTTACTATCTCTTAATTTTAACATAAACAGTTACACTTTTAACTAATTATTATTTTCTTATCTAATTATATTCTTATCTATATTTGTTTTATTGTGCATCAAACAGACCTTCTGTTCTGAAACTGGTAAATTTCTATTTTCATAGCAACGTATCAGTTATTCTCCGAGAAACTATTCGTCAAAAGACATCCGTCCGCATTCGATATCTCATTGCATATGCCTCAAAATGCTGGTAGTGGACCACGGTGCCATTGCGGTAATCGCTACAAGACTCCATCGATGCCGGGGATCATAGAAGATAGCACTTTGGCGAAGTCAAGGATCCACCCCCGCGTCTTCGAGAATGGGAGCGAAGCAGTCGGGATGTAAATTCGATTGGAGGCACCGGCTACACCGGGATACTCTTATTTCCGAAGATCCAAGGGGTTGGGCGTGAGCGACAAGGGTAGGGAGGGTCTGGTGTCCTCCAACTTATCCTCCCCGTCCTTCTCGCGGCAGAAGGATGCCTCTGGGAGCGCCGCTTATATCGAGTTAGAGCCGTTTGAATACAGACACACTCCTCCGGGCTGGTAGGGGCCCGCCAGGAGCCTGCCGGAGATATCGGAGGATCAAAAGTTGATACCCGATCTTCCTCGCGCGACTCTAGCTATCCTTATATGATTACCCAAGGACCTCCTACCACCGACGTTTTCCTCTCCCGGCGAAAGGGTATCGGCGCAGTCCTATCCCGCGAGCCCTCCTCCCGCGCCGCCATCTTAAGACCGATGCACTAGTCCCGAGCACGACGCGTAGAATATTTAAGGATCTCCGTGTCTTCCGCGGTCCCTATATACCACCCGGCACCCCCATCCACGACGACCTCCATCTTTCCGGACTAGGCGGTTAGAATGACGTGTAGTACGCATAAAGTATTCCTAGGAGACGATCCGTTTGGAAACTGAGTTACGGCTGCTACGTGGTCCAGGCGGCGATACCGGTCCGCGCGACATCGGCATCGGCGAGGTCGATCGCGAAATTATGCACGGTACCGCGAAGTGGAGGAGGGATGATTATATTTCCATTTGCAACTCGACGAGATGTTACGCGCGGGAGCGATAAATGCGAATAGGTCGAAGAAAAAATTACGATCGAAGGATGTAAGATTCCGAAATTGTTTACTCGGTTAGACCCGAGAGGTGAATCCTTATGATCCAGAATAACATCTTTAAATATAATGATGATATAAATTAGAGAGACATATAAAATTGACGAAAATTAAAACAGAATTAATATAAAATGGAAAATTGTTATTGTATAATAATAATGGTAATAACTTATATTGCTAAATGAATTTAGAGATATTATTTCTATTTTTCTGAGTGCAAAATTAAAAACACTTAAAATCATCATTTAAAAAAAACTAAAAAAAGCTAAGCTAAATGTGTATTATAAAAATATGTCATTTTCGTTAATTTATGCATTGAACGATTATTCAATCCGTCTCATAATGTTCAATGCAACGCTGTCGTCGCATAAAACATCGTAGCGAAGAATCGAGAGCTAAGATACGGAGAAGAGATGGGGGAGAGAATTCGTTGATCCTACTCATCAATGATGCAGCCGAAGGAGATACACGATGCCACGGTTGCTTCAGAGAGGCACGATGCATGTCCTTGGGGGTCGATTTCGCCGAGGACGACATAGCATCGACGAATAATCACTTTTCCGAAGTATTCTCAGGCCAACATTCCCGTGGATAGCCACCCGCGACCGTGGACGATCATTTATTCAGGATGGGTAATGAATCGGACGCCCATGGGAGCGTCGTCATCACCTTCGTGCGGATCGCCAAGCCTATTCGTGAGCTCTCGTTTAGTCTTGAAGACTTACTAAAAGACTTTACAGTCTATTGGAAACGGCATTGTCGCACATGCAGGCTATTGTTGCCCGTTTCTCTTGCTTCCAAATTTTTCAATTAAAATCGATTGTTTTTCTCAAGAACGATATCTTACTTAATCTCTCTTAATTCCAATCTACATCGACCTAATTCGGACTTTATCCTTGATATTAATTTGAATTTATTCCAATCTAATTTTAATTACAAATGTTTTATTTTGATGACAAAATACAGATGATTTTAATAAAGTACAATGAATTTCAAATTTCTTTTTAACATGTGATATATTTCACGACATCATGAGAGATAATTCTCTATGAAATCCTCTATAAAAATTCACGAAAACGTTATACGGATCCAGTGCAAGTCAGAATTCAATCGATCTCTGACTGTATTAAGTCCGGCCGGAGACGCTTGATTGATCGCCGGAACGCGCGACGTGCCCTTTTCTTCCTCGCAGGCGTAAGCGACCATTTGTTTTCCTCTTCCCGCTTTCCATGTCGAGCTATTTGTTTAAAGTCACATGGCGCGGCACACGGAAGAAAGAGAGAGTCGCCTCGTTATTAGAGAAGCCTACTGATAAATGGCTACATCCGTGACAGTCTGTCGCCTGATCGATCGTATGTCGGACTGTTTATAAAAACAAGAAAAGAAAAGAAAGTGATAGAGAAGAAAGAGGGATCGTCGTTTAGCAGCGATACATATATGTAACTTTCAAAACGCGTTCGAAGATGTCTGATAATTTCCGAAGAAGCCGCGAGCGATTCGGCCGGATGCTACGTCAACCGAATTGACGAGGAAGCGTGCACGCGCAAATTAGTTACTATCTGACTCTATGTGGCTCTAACTGTAAGTGATCGTGAGCGAAATTGCGCTCCGTTCCTGTACTGTACGGTTTTCCGTCAACGGAAGGAACATATCTCCGTCACGATCCGCGCGTGGAACGAATTAGCTCGCGGCACGCAACGCACGAAAATTGCATGAACCGTGCGGCGCGCGCGAGAGTGTGTTCCCTAATCTCCCTCTCAAAAATTCCATTAGCCGCGCCGCGCCGGTGTGTCCGACGATAATTGGACATCGACGTTTTTTAATCCGGTTGGACTCGCACAAATGCAACTGACGTGCAAATCCACGCGGCGTCCGGGGCGCATTTGCGCGAAATGAGATTTCGCTGTATCCAGTCACTTGTTGGCTTGGAAACTCAACGCGCAAAAGAATAAAGAATAAGGAAAAAAATAGCAGCGCGATAGATGGCAAAAATATGCAATGTATAGTATTTTGTGAATAGTAAAAAAAAAACAGGAAAATAATAAAAATAGAAATAATATTTCTAAGTAGGAAAATATTTTATGCACAAGTGCGTTGAGAGAATGCGATAATATTGATGGATGCGATCGCTTTTCTGTTATTTGACAATCATGAGAACAAATAGACAAACTGTCGCAGTTATCATTTTCTAAAGCGATTTGAGGGAATTGTTTAGCCAAATTGAAAGTAATCACGTATGTATCGTAGTGCAAATCGATAGAGCATATTGTTTGCTGATGGTTAAATTAATTTATTGATGCGTGTTAGTCTTAATTAAATAAGATAACCTTGTCTTTAATTAAATAAACGTGACGTGACGTATAATATAAATAAAGTTATTTAATATCGGTTTTAAATATTTTTAAAACCGATTAATTTTTTAATACATAAAATTAAAGAAATATATATATATATATATATATATATATATAATTTAAGAGACAATTAGAAATTTGTATTGTTTAAAACTGTCTACGACGTTTTATGTGTCCATTTGTCAGTTATCATTTAAACATTGCCTGCATATCAGTCACTCATCACATAGAATGATAAAATATCAAATCTATAAATCAATATATTTCTTTTTTTCAATATATAAAATTATAATATTATTCTAAATTGTCATAAAAGTTTTATAATAAATATTAATTTGTATAAATAACAGTACGGTAATAACTATAAATAAAAATGCTTCGGCAGTATTTTTTATTGATAGCCGATTACAAGCGTGTCAATTCGAGCTATAACAAAACCGTCAAAATCAACCCTAAAGAATTGTCGTGCAATCATATTTTCCGACGTTCTCTAACGGACACATCCGTACGTCGGATCCTTGTGCCACTACATCACTCAGAGTTGTCACAGGGCAGGACAGGTTACGACGTCCTCGTACGGTTTCCACCAATTTGGCGACACGCTCGCACGTTCGCGGATCCAGACCGAGTTATTGCGGGGGCAACGCGCAGGACGGGGGTTGTAAATAATATGGAAAACCGCGGTATAAGGGGGATGCGCGGCCTTCTCCACTCTGCGACACTTCGCCAAGCGTGTACGTAGACGTGTACAAGGACACGAGGAAAGAAATATACGAAAAAGGAAAAACGGAACCGCGCGGTAGAGAAAGAGAGAGAAGGGGGGATTGAAAACGAAGAAGGGGAAGAACGCGACGATGCGAGATAGCGGCGTCTCTGACTGGCGGTATATGCTGGCGGTGACCCGAGTCGCCATATTTCAAACTGGGGCGTCCTCCGAGGGGCCGTGAATACCTTAATAGTCATAAGGTGTATCCGCATACGCGGCGGGTATATGGAGTTGTCCCCTAAAACGTATTCGAACGTTCCATAGCCGGCGCGGCAGCTGCACGGAGATGATACAGTCTCCTGGACGGCTGTTCTCCGCGAGGATACGATGAGGAGGAAATACATAGGCGATACGGGAACTTGCACACCAGCCACCCCGCGCGCGCGCCAAAGTGGTGTCACAGAAATTGCGATAGCCGGGAATATTCGCGATTGGTATCTCGCGACGGGGCGTTACCAATAACACGAAGTATTACGATCGTAAAACGGTACTTCGCAAAATTGTTCGGACAATTTTCAACGCCGCGCGCAGATCGTTACGGACGATTTTGTCACTCCAATCCAATTTATTGATTCCTTATTAACTTGAAATAAGTTGATATTTCGTTCATTCATACATAATTTTTGGGATATCAAGCGTATGATGTATAACCGATTAAAATTTTTGCAGAGTATAAATGGATATTTAAAAATGTATTGCTTAGCCTATAACTCTACAAGTATGCATTAAAGCATACTTAGCAAGCGCTTGGATCCATATGACGATGTCTCACGTACGTCCTCGCGCGGCCCGATACTATTTAATAATGAACGGCTCTCTATTACTCAATGGCTATTAGGAAGTACGCGGGAGGGATGGTTTTCGGTTCCACTCGGTTCACGGTGCAATCGGTTAATCACCGCTCTCTCATCCCCCAAAGCCCATACAGCCTGAGACAAGGTTTAAGCGCGCCGACGTAGCCGCGCGCGCCCTTCGGCCCACCCACTGGTCCCCATATCAATTAATCTTACCCAGAATGCAATAACTGTCCAATCTGCTCCCGTGGCTGCGTCACGGTGTCGTGCAGTCTGTGCTGTAATGTCCCTCCACGGTCTCTGTCTCGCTTCTCTATTTATCTTCCTCCTTGCCCTATCTCTCTCATAGATAAATTTTTCGACGTTTCCCAGTCTTTTCCTTCTCTCTTTTTCCGGCCCTTATATCCTTTATCTCCGCGAGACGTCCCGCACGATTGGTGCAGACGATGGAAGCTGTAAACGAGCTTACGGAAAATCTCACGTCCGCCTCAGCATCGCGCTCGTACACCCCCTTGCACGAAATAATGAGCGCGAGAGCAGGAGGGAGAGGAGAGAGGGAAGTTTGGGGAAACTCTCTCTTCAGCAGAAAACATATTGGGCTGTTAAGGGGTTCTTCAGGGTAGTCTGCTTAATTGGCACGGCCGTTTAACCCTGAATTACAGCGAGTGAAGCTGGGAAGATTGTGATCCGGCAGTGCCAGATTCAGCGACCTTGATTAATCGAGCTATCGACTTGGACGGAAAGCGGAGAAGGCCGTCTAAATTAAAACACGTATATACCGTAAACGTATTCGACAATGCGTTTATTTTTTGTTATTTTTTCAATTTCATTGCCGGCGGAATTACTTATCTCTAGTATTTATAACGTTAATATATTAGTTAAAAAATTAATTTTTATGCCAACTTTACAACCATAGCTATACATTGCAATGAAATAAATAATAAGAAGCACATCTTTTTCAACCAAAATATATTAAACGGTTAAAGGAGCAAAGAAATTGTTAGACAGAAGAGTTTACAAATGGTAACAGCGTTTATTGTTAATAATAATAATGACAATAATATTAATAGCGAGTCTCTAATTACAATAATTACATAATGATATAATGATACAACAATAAAAATTTCGATAGCGAGAAAAAGGGAAGAATATAATAACTTCTTGATGAGGCGAGCGAGCCGCCATTAGTCGGAACGACTCTGCGCCGCACACACACACACATTATGTGCCCTCTCTATTTATAATATTTATAGCTTCGATTTATTTATATGTATATATTTATACGCTTAGACTAGCCGTGATACAATCTACGTGCTATTTACAATTTTTGGTCACAGTTGCAACTTTAGGGGTTGGTGGTCTTGATGCTCTTTTTTTCAACGACAGGTGCGGGAGATATGCAAAATACAAGTACGTTCTCGCCGTACTTTGACACGTTATACGCCATTCGACGATCTCGTGCTATTCGGACGTTATTTACATTTAAAACAAAACATTTTAATGTAATATGAGAAAAATGTATAGGTCTTAAATTATGTATCATTAATTTCTTTTATATTAAAAATGACATAATGTTATTTAGGTAGATTTTCAATTAAAAAAACTCATCTTTTAATAGTGAATGCTTCAAAACTACAGATCCAGAATTCTATATTGGAGATCATAGATCTGGTGCAGAACACTGGGCTGGGGTTAAAAACTCAGTCTCGGAAACCAGAGCAAGAGAGGAACTTTTTAAATCTAGATGACGTTAGGGACTAACTTAGTCCCGCCCGTCATCATTACTACTACTGCTACTAATAGTGAATGCACTTGTTAACACAAATATATGGCATCTTTATAAAGTTTATGATCTTGTAAAAAATGTCCGATTAACTCGACGGTCGCGCTGCGTATCGTGAGAATATCTATGCGATAAGAGAAGTTACAGTAACAAGTAATCGATTTGGTAGCTAGACGATTAAAGTAGAAAGTGTTAATCACCATTTGTAACAAAAACAGTTCGTCAGTCCATTCACTTTCACGCTTACGTATCGTTATGTAATTCATAAATTATCATTTCTCACCGCAAAAGGTTTTCTCCGTCCGAATAAAAATCGCTGAAGGAACCAAACCCCGGCACACACACTTCACTTAGGAACGAAACGGATACAACGCTTTTTTTTCATGGAATGTCTAGTCGTGACGATTCACCAATTCACTTTCTCCATTTATCCTGAGTATATTCTGCAAGTTGAGAGTCCTTGAATATTTGCGTTAGATCAATCGACGCACGTGAAACAAATGGTCGAATAAATATCAACTTATACAGTCTCCTCGCATTAATATCAAAAGATCAATAAAATCTCGCGATAGAAAAAAAAATGCTACAGTACCCCCTTTCCGGCAAATTTTATTTCATCCCGAGAGTTTACCCTCGAATTGCACTGTTCCGGTCAAATTCGCATCCGTTATGCGATCTGAATTTACATGAAATTTTGTATCTTCAATATAATGCACAGAGTTGACTGATATTAACATTTTGCCTTTTGGTAGATTTTTAAATAATATATTTTTAAAATTCAAACAAAGGGCTTGCGAACTAGCTAGATGTTTGTGCTACCGTAATATATTTCGAACAATATATTTAAATAAATTTTTCCCCTTAAAGACTATATGTAATGCAATTCTTTTCGTATTGATATTGCAAGTTATATATTGTAAATTACACATAAGTGTCTCAAATGACGTTAATTTTTCCTGTTAATTGGGAGGTATATTAAAACCAGAAAACAATACAAAACGGCAAAAGGTTAATATCTTCCAGCCTGCAATCTACCATGATGCAATCTGCAATCGCCTCACTAGCGATTCCATTTATGAGATTAATTTATCGCTCTAGTCTCCGCCATCATCGACAATCACGAAGATCATCGTTCATGATTTCATTTCTCGTAGTTGCATCCTCATCCCGGCCGAACCGCCTGATTCGCGGAAAAGAATCGCTCATCGCGACGATCTCCAATCGTCGTTTCGTATCAGTCATCCGGCGCCAGATTATCAACCGCATCCTCGTCGCGGTCTCACTGCATAATCGGCGGATTTCCACTGGGTAGGGTGTTCTGTCCGGGAATCGAACCAATCGGCGGTCGATGCGACGCGTTGATATCGGCGTGCTGGGTCTCGCGGTGCCTCCTCAGATCGACCTTGCGCTGGAAAGCTCGGCCGCAGAGCTCGCAAGCGAACGGCTTGAAACCCGTGTGCTTTCTCGAGTGCGTGATCAGGTTGCTGCTCTGCGAGAACGCCTTGCCGCATACTTGACATTTATGAGGTTTCTCGCCTGCAACAGAAAGGAGACGAAAAGTGTTTAGAGGGAACTAGGCTTCCGATTAATTAAGCTTTCCAATCGATCGACTTCCGGACGTACTATTAACTAGGAAATAAAAAATTATTCAATTATAAATTTTTTATTATCGTCGAAAGTTTCTGTACCGTGCGATAATCGGAAATCGAGAGAAGTATGTCGAAAAGTTTAAATTTAAAAATTTATTTCGCAGTGTTTCATGGTTTTTTTAATCAAACGAAATATCTAATAGTTCTTTCGCTAGTGAAATCCTTATTTATGAATGCAGCGTGTCGTTCCAGCCGAACTATCTACAAAGATAGTTCGTCGTCGAGTATACAATGAACTTAAAAAGGGGAATCAGAAAACTCGAACAGCGCAATCCAGCTTCCCTCTTTCGCCTGTCGCATTCCAGCGAGCATGCACGTTAATCCCAAAGTACCGAAGTGCCGCCAGCTCTATCCCGCCTCGGTCAAGACTCTCCTCAAGGCGAAGAAGATCACGGGGATGGGGGGTGGGGAGGAAAGGGGGTGGGAAAGGGAGGGAGGAAGACGAAGGGTATGGAAGGCTAGCCACCTCGCAAGACGGGTGTAGGTGGCATCAGCGATGCGGGGCACGCCCGGTTAAGATTTCCTCCCAAGCGAGAATCTCAGCCACCCCGGCGGCGAGAAAAGGCAGAGAGAGAGACGGACCGAGAGAAGAGGCGAATAGTGGAAAGGGGTGTCTATGTGCGCGGGCTGTAGGGGTTCGTTGTCTAAGGGGCGAGGAGAGAACCCCCCCGGTACGAAGGGTCGCCGCTCGTTTCTCTCATCCTGGCCGCGAGCTCTGATTGGCGGCCGGGGGCGGCTCCAACCCACGTGTTACCATGACTACCGGCGGGATAACCCGGCTGCTGCTGACTGAGGGTGAGAGAGAAAGCCTGCTGCCTGCTGAGAGGGTGGCGGCGCGGCGGCACGACGACGATGCGAACTATATGCCGCTGGTGGGCAACAGAGGGCCCGTTAATGGACTCCCCCGTACGTCCGTACGTCTGACCGAGCAACCGGTATACACGTACCGTACACGCTCTCGGCCTCTCGGCATCGGCACACGGCTACCTACACGGGTGGAGGGTGGATCCATAAACAACTCGTTAGCCGAGCCTTCAATCTCGCCCCCGCCGATACGATGTGGCCCGTCGATCGCCCTCCACGATTATACCCCGGCCGCGGCGCGATCTTGATTTTCGGGAAAAAATATCGGCTACCTCTTCCCAGGGATTTCTCGGGGTTGGACGTGATGACCCATATTCACGGAAGTGCGGTATCTCTCCCGAAATTCGAGAATTCAATGCGAAGTGCCCCGCGAACATCGACCCGGGGAGGTTTAATTTAGAATGCGCATATTAGTTACCTTGCTCGATGCGATGTCTTACAGTTTGATACCTGATAAGTCTGACATTTGTACTTTGCTGCGCTGAAATTAGCAAATTAGCACTTTGAGCTTAATAACGTTTCTCTGTTCTAGATGTTCTCTATTAACACTTCCTGATATTTAATTTTTTTTCCAAAATAAATGATTCTATATTGTTAATTTTAGAATCAAATATAAAAGAGATATTGCAGAAAATATAGTAATTAAATACAGGTTTCGACCCGTATTATCGGACGCATTATTTTTCCACCTTATCAAGGTTTACGTATCGTGCACGAGGCATTACGCAGTCATTTTATGCGAACATCAGTCGCATAGTTACGCTGCCCTTCGGATCAAGATTCACGCGCGGATTCAGAGTTAAGGACGCGCTTTTGCGGAGGGTGTACCGTAGGAATCCGACGAGTCTGCCGCTCGATGAAATTCCTCGGAGTTCTACGTGAACCCCGTGAGAGGGTGAGACGAAACGGATAGAATTTTCGCGGAGTTAAGCACCGATGGAAGCCAGGGAACGGGGGTGGAAGTGCAGGGCGGCCGTTTGAAATTTATGAGCTCGTAAAATCAAGAGCCCGTCCGAGCGCTCGCAACCGAGGTTGCCCGTTTCGCGTCTATATCGCAACGGCTTTGCCATGGTTACGGAATATCGTTTCTGCCGGGCAAACGGCCATCCGAAAATCCAAAATCCCTCGTACTCGGGACTACAAACCCTTCTCATTTGACTGACTAGTAAATGGATCTCAAAATTCGTTTTCTGCATACTTAGACTGATATAAACTAAATAAAAAATAAAATTCTATTTTAGATATTCAGAACTGACAAAAGTAATTTTCTTGAATCTCCCTTTCCCCCCCCCCTCTCTCTCTCTCTCTCTCTTTCTCTTCCTAAAAAGATATCGATTCCAAAGATTATATGTCATCAGTACGATGAAATTCCAAACTTTGAATTTCAGACTTTGAGAAATACGGTATATATTTATAACGTAGTTCTTTATATTATTTACCCTGTATATAAGTTATTATATAATATATATTAACCTCACGATAGTCATGTTTTATTCAGTACACTCTACGCAATTTACTATCTAGAGATAATGTCACTATTTTTATTTTCTTATGTTGTTGATGTAGCTAGCGCGAACCGCGGCATTTTTTAAGCTGAGGATATTAAATTCAGCGGTTCATATGCGGGAGAGAGAGGATGGCACTTTAAAATATCATTTTCTTGAGAAAACGAAGGATTAAGGGGACGGGAGTAAGAAGGGGCGGAGAAGGGGGGTGGAGAATAATGTGTAGAAATGGAACGTCGAGTCTACTGGGATTCTCGTTTCTCGGAAACAAAGTAAAGAAGAGAAAGACAGGGCAGAAAGAAAAAGAGCCGCCGGAAATTTACGCGCTCATAAAAATCAAGAGCCGTCGGAACTCACTTGGATCCGTCGAGTTTATTCCTTCGGTGGAATTGTCTGTGTCAAAATAACCGCGTTAATAAATTCGTTGAAAGCAATGAGTTATCAGGACGAAGTGTTAGCCGCATTGCAATAATAAATATTGCGATTCTTCGCTGTGTGGATAGCATTACTGATTATATTGACTAATCGAGGCGATCGATCTATTCTCGATAAACATTTCTATTAAACCTGGTATAAATTATTTGTTTACGTTACTTATGGATATCAATATTCTCTTGCAAAGGCAAGACAATGCAGCTTCAAGAACGTGACCGGAACGGTGATCGATGATCAATAATACTACGAGTATGAACGAAAAATTCCAACTAGGAGCGAAAGAATTTTCAAAAGAAGAAAAATAAAGAATATGAAATATGGCACATGCAGAACGTACGTGATCTTATGTGTTCGTGAAAGAAATATCGAAATGCTATTCAATTCTTCAAATGACATAAAAGGACTTCAGCTTTAATACATTCGTAATCGATTTTAAAATATTATTGCAAAATTTATAACAAAATCTTATAACAAAATTACTCGAGTTTATTCGTAAACAAGAAAAAAAATGATATGATATTGCGTTTATTTAAATCATATAGAAAAAAAACTTTATCGAAAAACCAAATAAACTGAAAAATGAAATAATTTAATTTAGAGCTAAAATTATATACATATATAATTATTTACTACATTATCAGTTCTTTTTTAAATGGAATATTTGCTAAGAAATTTCTGTAAATTGCGATAATTTAGCTCTCACAATTCCTAATATACGTGATACAATCTCAACGATTAAAAACCATAAATTATAGAAGCGGATTCATTGAGAACAGAGGAATTTTCGAAGAGGAGGTAAACTGACGGGGAGGGAAAAAAAGTCGAGCGTCTCTCGGAATTTACGTGCTCGTAAAAATCAAGCACCGTCGGAGCGCGCCTTATCCGTCCTTATCCCTTATGCGGGCGAAGCACCGGGGTTTCGATCTAAATGCACACGGGGTGCATTCAGTGCACCGCAGCATGCGCATGTATACCTTCCGCGGCTTCGAGAAGTGGCGAGATCAAAGATTTAACCGGCGGCGGCAGTTGAGATTCGACGCTCGCGAATTTTTAACACAGCGTAGGAGAAACGGACGAAGTCGGTTGGCTCTGAAGACGGGGGAGATTCGAGGCTGAGAACCCCTGAGGTTTAAGACGCCATTACACCCCTCAGGGCTGTCGACCGACGCCCCTAAAACTATATTAAACTCCCGGAAATCTTGTGCGCGAGAGGGTACTCCGTCTCCCGCTAATTCTCCCGTCCCATCGCTCGCGCGTCCTTTGCGCGAGTGCCTCAAGTTCGAATGTACCTTTCGCGCATCCTCGCGAGGACTCAACAAGAAACCGAGCATTTTGTGTTCGACTTGTGCTCGACGAAGGTGCCATTGTAACAATTTTGCTTACTCAAGGATATCTCAATTCAGCAACCTGAATTTATACATTTAAGCGTTTTGTACATTCGTTAAAAGTTATTGATTCAATTAGCCATTCTCCATGCATTGATATTTATGTTTTTATTATAAATCGTCTAGAGAAGCTGTGTTTTAATGAAATAAATTACATAGGATATATTCCAGCATTTTTCCTTCATTTTCAACCTTTATGTATAATAATAATGATAAGATCATAAAAAAAAACAAGATATTCTTATATTAGATACATCTTTAAATCTTTAAAAAATTCATTAAATTTAAGCAGAATCTCATGTATGTACTTTTTCGACATATTATGTCCCCAATATCGGAGACTAGATACAATAAAAATAAATCTTCAAATATTGGTTAGTTAGCCCAACATTGTGATTTCAACATTTTAATTATGGTATGTTTTTATATTTAAAAAAAGAAAAGTGAACGCGGTCCGCACAGGAGTGGTAAGAAGCAAACGGAAAAGACGAAACTTGAAGTAGAAAAAGAAAAACAGGAAAAGAACGATGGCAAGAGGAATAGGGGAAGGAGGAAGATACTGGTATGTAGAAGGTGAACCGGACGCTGGCCGAGGCATTGATTTCTTCTCGTCTTCTTCGACCACGTTCCGAGCCTCTTGGGGCGTCTCTGCCCTCTAACTGAAATCCTCGCGCGAGACGGGAGGAGGGTGGAATCGA